TGTGTGTGTGTGTGTGTGTGTGTGTGTGTGTGTGTGTGTGTGTGTGTGTGTGTGTGTGTGTGTCTGTGTGTGTGTGTGTGCATGTGTGTATCATGCAAGCATGCATGCCTGCACCTTCCTGCCTACCTGCCCGTTTGTCTGCCTGCCTGTTTGTCTGCCTGCCTGCTTGTTTGTCTGTGTCTAACTGACTGACTGCTTGCTTGCCTGCCAGTCTGTGTCAGTGAGTGATTGAGGATCATGCACAGACTCATATATGCTAACACAAAACATGCAAATAAATGAGAGCACACTAAAACCTTAATTCATACTCTGACTTTGTGTAAATAGTTATTTTTTCATTTCTTCTCTCTTCAAAGATGCTTAACAAATAAAACAACTTAATAGAGGATATATGATCTTTATTTGATTGCTTGTGGTATGAACATTATGTACAGCATGTAACATGATCAAATATTTTTTCAAGGATTTATGTAAAGATGCTTGCAGAGACAAAGATATTATGTGCTGTGAATTCTTAAAAATCCAAAATGAAATAATATTCAAAATATTTAGGAAATTTAAGAACATTGATGGCATTTCTAAAAAGATAAGAAGAAATTTTATCTATTAGTTGATATTATAAATTGTGATCTTGTCACAACTTTGATCAATAATTTATAAGTTCGTAATTATTCTAGCTATAGCATGATACTTGACTGCAGTCACTTATTTATATATTTGAATCCTTTAAGTCACTGATATTTTCTCCAAGAAGATTTTGAATAAGAGTAAATATGTTGCCTCATGTTATTTTCAACTTATCTAGACTCATTTTTAAAATCAGGGCAAAGATGCACTTGACAGGTTAACAGTCTAATGATGGTTGACGGGTTGATGATAATAATTATATGATAATGGTTAATGGTTAATGGTTTATATAATAAATGACATTTTTAATGATAATTACAATATAACTGACATGTTATGATGATAATTATATGATACTTGACAGTTTTGTAATGATAATCATATGATAAGTGACAAGATGGATGGTAAATTATTTGATCAGTGATAGGTTCTTGATGATACTAATGTGTGATACAATAATGTTATTCAAATATACTATTTTCTGCCTGTTATCACCAGCCTCACACAAATACATCTTTGCCTTAATAAAAAAGAGAGAAAGAAAACTTCTGGGATTTCTTATTATACATGTTTTGATTTTTCTTATATATTAGTAATTATAGGCCTCATAAAATTGTTAACATTCAAAACTTTCATTTTACTGGATTATTTAAAAATCACATCATCATTATCTTGTTTAAATTGATATCATTATATCAACTTGACATGGAAAAAGAAAGAAAGAAGAGAAAAAAATGGGTACAGCGATAATCATCATTAATGTATTGATTAAAATAGTGACAATAAGATAAGAATAATGCTAAGAGTGATTACTATCAGTATTATAATGATAATAATAAAAAAGTAATTACAATAATAACAATGAAAATAATGATACTGATAGTAATAATGATAATGATAATAATAATAATAATAATAATAATAATAATAATAATAATAATAATAATAATAATAATAATAATAATAATAATAATAATAATAATAATAATAATAATAATAATAAAAATAATGATGGCAATAATAATAATTATAATAATAATAACTAATAATAATGATAATAATAATAATAATAATAATAATAATAATAATAATAATAATAATGATTAATAATAATAATTAATGATAATAATAATGATGATAATAATAATAATAATAATAATAATAATAATAATAACAATAATAATAATAATAATAGTTACTATTATTATTATTAATCATAAAAAAATAATAATCAGGGCTCTTAAAGGTGTGGAGTATAGCAGGGTGCAGGGGCTTGAATAGTGGGGTGCAAGGGTGGCGAAACCACCCCAAGTCCGTTTTCTTTATAATTTAATGTTTAGATAATAGCAGAAATGCTGCTACGGAAAAACGGCCAGCCCTGCATAGCGCATAAAATTCACATTCGCAACTGGTTACAGAAGGTGAAAAATTTATTTCTGGGACCAGACGAAAAACAGCTAGTGGCCAATCTAGCCACATGTGGCGAATTGCCGCAGCAGTAGTAGTAGCCATAGTAGTATAAATAAAAAGAATAATTATAAAATACTATCGCTGATTTTAACTTGACTTATAATTAATTAATTGAGCATGGAGGATAATACAGTGAATAATAATCATTCAAAAATTACACAAAATATAATACAACACCAAGAGGCAGCTTCCGTTATAAAAGGAATACGTTCAATCCTGTATTCTTTAGCTACCTTCAATGATATGCCAGAGTTTCATGTGAATTAATATCTATGTATGCCTAACTAATGAATAGTAATGGAAATACACAATATTACAAGCCTTTTATAGTTCCCTTACAAGCTTAAAATGTGCAAACCATATCTAAACAGGCATTTTTCTGCTAAGGAGTCATCCATTTTTTTCATCATTTTCATGAATGTACAAATTGTACACTGGAGAGGAGGGGGGATTAATCTATGGCACACACTTTTTAGAACATCATAAAAATGACAATCTGGATGAAATTAAAGATTACAAATTACTTATTGGCTTCGTATCCTGCTGCCAAAATCAAGATGAGAAGATGTGCTGCAGATGAATTTTTTTCCAATACAAAGACACTGGACCACATTTATGTTTTTTGAAGTTGTTTTATTCTCAAGATAGGGCATCCTTCACAGATTATAAAACAATGCAAGATATCCTATAATGGATGCCTGCTAGAATCTGTCAGTATCAATGCATTCCTTTAGAACCTGGAGATCATTTGACAGAAGTCATCATTTTTATCCTTGGGGGAGGGGCTTGGGAAAAGAGTAGTTTCTGTACACTTGTGAAAGTGATGAAAATAATGGATGACCCTTAAATTAATAAATAACATTAGGTAATTATAATACAGTTAGCTTGGAAGCCCTACTAATAAAACTTGAAACATTTTGCACAATGAATCTTACATTTTAGATATAACCACACAAGAAAAAGCACATTAATTGTTATATATGATCATACCAACTTCAATCATTAGTATATTTATCAACAAAGAGAATGGTTGAAAGCATTTTATCTATTGACACCAACTCTCAGGCTTATATATTACAATTTTACTATATGCAAGTTTCTCCAAAAAATTCCTGTATTATCCGTGTTTAAGCAACAAGTGTTCAACAGGCTGAGATTAAATGTATCTAATATTTAATGATACTTCTACTGTAAGCTCCTACTCAGAGCCTTGGTTTTAGTGTCTTGCATTTGGCATCAAGTCATCACAAGCAAGTTTCATTAATGCACAACTTCACACAAGCATGAGAAGACAGTTTGAAAAAATCCAGATTGTATGATTATTTCAGATTATGACATAAAGGTTGAGAAATACTTTTGTGATTATTATACTTAGTTATTGATGTTTTTGGTGCAGTAAGTTCTTATCTTTTGCTAGTGAATATATATAATTCTGTTGTCTGTATTCTGTCATAAAGATACCTACCAGAGTCTTATTTTTTAATTCTGTTATTCTTGTTTTTAATTCCATTAAATGCCTCTCATAATGAGAACAAATATTTATTATAAGATTATTTTTAGAGTGAGAAAAGAAATAGTGAATGATGTCAGTATTTACAAAAATCACTTTTTAAGAGTATATTTTTTTGCTTAAAAGCCCATAGTCTACATTTTTCAGTGCTTGTCAACAGTTCCAGTTTTGTAAAATAATTACATATTTCTAAAGAGGATCCAAGACAAAAGAAAATTATATTATAAGTCGAACATTAATCATGAATAGAAACAACGGTCATATTAGTTATCCCTTTCCATCAGTCTTATCATATCACACCAAACATGTATTTCAAAAAAGAGATATGCAATAATAACTAGTTTTCAAAATCCACTTTGAGATTTCCTTAATACTCTTTGTGCACAGAAAACAAGAGAGGATTTGGCACAAAATAAAAGTATTTAACAGTTATGACATGCGCAATACAATGGCAATGGATATCATCTAGGAATGTTAATCAGACTTTGTCACTATAATGTATAAGTATTGTGTGTTGTCAAAGATAAATTTTTCCTGTTTTTTTTTTTCTTTTTTTCTTTTTTTTTTTTTTTTTATAAAAATAGTGATGACTAATCCCACATTCCTCCATGTAAAATGTTCAAAATTTACTGTTATGTGTAGCATAATTGACTTGATAACAATAAAAAAATAAAATAAATAAATACATTTAAAACTCCCCTTCTCTTCCACTTATCAAAATGATACATTCTGTATTCTAAATCAAATGGACAGATTTACAAAAACTTTTTTCCCTCTTTTTTTCACTCTCCATATCTTTTTTTTCTCCTTGGAAGCTATGAAAAATAACCATTTCTGAAAAAATAAACCTTCTCTACACAAGTGCAAAATCGTACATAGAGAAGGCTCTGTTTTGTAATACAATAGAACCAACATCACCAGGCTAGTTAAGTGTACTGGATTGAAGTCCAGGAACACAACATCACTTTCATATCATATGGTAGTTCCATATGTAGCCCTACAGACCTTGAAATACTCTGGCCAATTATTATTCCTTTTTTTCTCATCTCAAATTTTCAGGCAATATTATGTTTACTAGAAAGACAGAGACGTATATGCATCACTGGTATTTCAATCCATCACAAGATATATTGTAATATTTCAAAATGAATTATTTTCATGTGCAACATTTCAATGAGCTTTATTGTGTATTAGATAATCCTTAATCTTGAACATGTAAACACAGTATACAAATTAAATCTGCAAGATACTTTATTTAAAAAGTTTGAAGCATAACATTCATTATCACAACAATTACAAAAAAAATGTTCTTATAGCACAATGACATAAAATCACATTTTATCAAATATAAAAATAACTTGAAATTCATATATCCATTGTACAGTTCTACTAATGACAACACATGTAAATGATATACATCATATATATATCCCAAAACAATTTCATCAACACTTGTAACAAAAATGTCTAAATGATGTGTGAGCAAAGACACTTCAAAACAAATATTTTTTTTAATTTTTTGAAAAACATCTGAAATGAAAACATTGGGTCAAAAAATTACCAACCTCTCAGAAGCATAGGTCTAAAAAGAATTTCATTCATAAGATAAATCTGAGAAATACATTTTTTTTCAAAACTAAAAAGAATTTATGATCCCTTGTAAATGGAAGAGTCATTCAACTCGTATTTAAGAACTTACAGTAAATCTACAGTTTGTTAGAAATCCTTAAACAATATTTACAACTGAATACAATACTCTCATTAACCTGGCAAAATTGACAATGCATCCCAAAGGACACACTGCTGCTCCATCAGTAAAAATGTACTATATGTCACCATCAATACTGTATTCAGAAAGCTGCTTATATTAGGCAAAAACCACCTTATAAATAGCACTGACTGCACTCAGTTATGTTGCCTTCCTTCAGCCATGAGGAAGTGTGCAAGTTGTTACCAAATACCAACACCTTTCCAACAAAGTTATAAAAAACAGATTGTACATTTTACACATTATATACAAGAAGAGCAACTTTTTACTTGAAACTTAATCCCAAGACAAATTTGTAACAAGACATCACAGAGCAAGAATTTACATCACAGCACCAACCTGGTGTTCACAGTGTAGCTCTGCGAGTAACAAGTGTACATCTTTTTTGTTCTTTTTCTGTCTCAATTTCATTTTTTTCATTACCCAAGCATATTCCATCACAAAATGATTGTACAAGTAGATCTGCAAAGAATCTCAGGTACACCATTGCAATTGAGATGGGTAGCTTTACATGCTCTCAGTGATAATTTATCATGTAATGTTTAATGTAACATATCAATATATTGTCTGATGTATTAATGCATTATATAAGACAAGAATTTCTTAATCTGTATGCTGTGTACTATGAATTGATTTATATGTCGTGTACTAATATATCATATATAATGTATCATGTGTGCAGTGTATTACCACTTTGAGAGATCACATCCTTACATGCTAAGAGGGCACAGCACCAGCCATGTTGTACAAAATAGATTGCACAATATCACGCAGAAGATATTTTCAAGATGATCTTTTTGTTTTTCTTCCTTTATTTCCTTCTATCTGTTTTTTATTCATCTTCACACATTGCTTCTGATTTGCGTTTGTTGATGATGTCCACGTTTAGGTTTGCTTTGTCCTCTAAGTAGTGCTCCATTCTAACAATAGCATAATCCTGTAAGACATGAAACATAATTTGTATCCTCTCACAAACTTATCAATGCTTTAACTCAAATTCTATGCCAATTTCTGAGTATTTTATGCATCTCATGTTGATAAAGTTAGAAAAAGAGAAGTGATAATAATAATTACACTTAAAGTACATCCACTCCCATTAATGGAAAAAAAATTTATAACAAATATCACACTCTCAGTATATGCTGCCAGATTAGTAAAAATACAAATTGCTCTTTCACTATATCAAGTCATTAATAATCACACTTACAACTCATGCAGTCACACCTGTAATAAATCCTACTTACAGTATATCCAAAAGGAATGGTGGAGACCTGGCTCTGGACAATGGACCAGAGGGTCCAGAAAAGGTGCGACACCAGTGTGAACACCTGAACCTCAGCAAGGAGCTTGTCCTCGGCCGGGTGGGGAGGCGCCGCCATGTTGCTCATCATTCTGTTGTTCTGGCTGAGGACACTCACTCTGGAAAGAAAATTTACTGTTTTCAAGTCATGGTACAAAGGAAAAAAAAAAAAAAATACATAGATATACAGTATATATGTATGTATATAATTGACATCATTATCAAAACTTAAACATAATTATTGGAAGTGATTCAGATTAAGATTAGCTTCTAAAATTGTTGCACACAATGCTCATGCAGTGTTTCTCAGAAGTGCTTCACCAAGGAGAAGACTGTGCTTTTCTCCCTTACAAATATAAAAGTTTGAGGTGTCACACATATATAGCATTTTTAAGATATTGATAATGTGTGGTGTTTAAAGAAAAACAAGGAAATAAAAAAATAGTAAATATATAATAACAATACATTTGATAACATCTTAGTATAATTGATTAAAGAACAAATGAATGATACAGGTGAATATAATAAAATATAGAAGACCTTAGTAATCATTAATTTTTTTGTTTGTAAGTTTATTTGTCATATGATCACCCAGATGAATATTTATATTATCTGTCAAAATTTGCAACTTTGTTTAGCATCAAAATACACTGATCATTCTTATAAAGGAATTTAACAAGTGGCAAGTATTCCATTAATAGAACAATCTTGTCTGCATTTGCTAACAGGTAAGTTACTAAACTAGAATCCATTCAGGGTTAAAATATCTACGGGTGCTGATAAAATGAACTCAAGTAACTGCAAAATCAATAAATCCTCAATCAAAATTTAATGAGAGGTTCATTTTGACAGAACTATGTGTTCAGTGAGCCTATGATGCATTTCAGTTTGTAAAGAATGTTATAAATATTATTAAATAATTACAAGAGATCATTAACCAGTGAGAACATAAGAAGACTGTTTGGATACTTGAAAAGTATATATTTAGCCAGAACTTCAATCCACAAAAAGATTATTTCAAAGGTCCAAATCTAACCTTACCAAATCCCTCTTTTTTCAATCTTTCCTTACAACCCTTACTCCTTAATCTCAGTTTTGCTGAAGAACTGATTTTTTCTTGTGCAATGTAAAATAACATTTATAGTCCTATCAGCTTTCAAAATTTAAAGCTACTGATATTCATCTTGCATAACATGTTTAGACAAATAACCCATGTCTGTAAAGATTCTCTAGCTCAAGAAAATGTCCAAATCAAGTGTTCTGAATTTCTAAAATGTTTAATCCAGAGAGTGCACACTCGGCCAGTATTATTTGCATTAGATATAGAAAAGGAGGACTTTGAAGTACCTCTCTTTTACTTTCAACATTACCATTCTCAAATTCCCAAGTCATCCAACCTTGCAGAAAATCAGCACTCCCACTGCTCCAGTAACAACCTGTACATTACAAAGAGACAGCACACTCCACCCAAACATTACTCAGAATATTATGCATTTAACAAGAATATCCTCTATGCAAAAACCATTACTGGCTTCCATCCTATATCTTTTGGCTACTTTTAAATACTGGAATTTATCTGCCCTTTCTGCCAATGTAGATCTCAGAATGGAAGGGATAACTGAAAAGATTACTCTGGCACACAAGCATGATATCTGTCCAAATAATGATTAACAACTGTTAACAATAGGTATTTCTAATATCAGTTAAAACTGCAGGCTTTCAGTGATAAGCTCAACCTCATAAATTCCACAGAAAATATATATAGCACCTCTTTAAAATATCCACACATACGGATTAATCAAGATCTAACCTGGTAATAATTGCATTTTCCATTACTCCCTTACTGTCCATTGGGAAGAGATATGAAACTCTATCAAGTATCAGTTAAACAAAATGCATCAAATTCTACCTAAAGAATCTACTGTGCAGCCAAGTGCATGAACATGAAAAAATGAAACGTCTCACACCTGTTGCCCCTGAAAGCTTGGGTACTGCAAGCAGGCGTACAGCACCAAATACTGGTCCTAGTGTTAATGAAAGGCATGAATCAGCTATTATCAAAAGGAGATCATGCATTAAAACTAGAAAGGAACTCTGGAGGAGACATGCAATAGCAGTTTTCATGTAAATACTGGAATTAATTTTTTTCTAAAAAAAAATAGTCTTGATACTTCAGTAAATAAGCATATTCAACAAACAATATGTGCACATTTTGCAGATGTATCACACTGTCCATTGCCCACAAAATGTTTGTTTCTATATAAGATATTTAAAGAGGAGAACCAAGAGAAGAATAGAAAAACAAAAATTGTGAAAGGAGAGGAAAAGCGGTAAAAGTAAATGAATAAAAAGAAAAATGTAGAAGTATATTAAAAAATAAGTTGAATATTTTGGATTACAAATCCTTACCATACTTTATTTATCTAATAACTTTCTAAGAATGTCATTAATTCCAAAATAACACTTTGGAAGACATGCCCACAGCTGCAAGGGGGGGGACATGCACCACAACATTTAGTTATATGTTTTAAAATTTATAAGCTTTAGCAAGTAGTCAGAGTGATGAAGTATAAATCCTAACTGAAGCATGCTAATATTTCAAATAAGCCCGCAAAAATATATATATAATGTCAAGTCCAGTTAATAACAGGTTTTAGTATTCATGTTAACCAAATAGCTATTATGGCACTAAAGAATAGTAATGGTTGAAAAAAGCCTACAAGAAATTACATATAATGTGAAGTTAAAGTTAAGCAAAGTATTGTAAGCCAAAGGAAGATAATACAAGCTTGACACATTGCTTCAAACTGTCAAAGAACTCTCTCTGACTTACAAAACAAGCACACTTGGAAATTGTAAGGTGTTCCATTATAAGAAAAGGAGCACCATGGAAATGTCAATTAAAAGTCAAGATTTGCTCAACATGGAGTCCTAAAAGAAAGAAATCACACAGCATACCTTGACACAAAATTGTAAAGGCAGAGTTGTTTTGTTAGTATTCAAAGTGGAAATGACAAACATCAAATCCTATGAAAGTTTCTGGAACTGATCTCTTCACGGTAAAATTAATGACAGGTCATTCTACGAAGCAAATTTAATCCGAGGAATACACTACAGTATGTTATTACTCAACATAAATTCTTCCATTCCTGGTTACCAGATACGAGCCAAAACAAAAAAAAGGGCTATCAAATGCAATCTATCATAGCAAGTAATACAGGGGGCTATACATGAACATGTAAAGCTATTTATATACATGTAGAAAAAAAAAAAAACAAGTCAAGAGTGAGAGCCCAATGCTGCACACACCCTTCACCTTGTCTTTGGTATTTCTCAGGGCTAGCTTCCAAGCAGACACCCTTCCTATACACAGCAATGCTCAGCAACTTTAATAAAGCTGTTGGAGTCATAAGTTCTTTGGGATGTTCCCTGATGTCTTCCCTTCTCAGTTACTTTTCTCAGTGGGTCAATTTCTGTGAACCAAGTAATGTACCAGAGCATTTGGTAATACTGATGCCCTAGATAAACCCTCTAATTCTATCATAATTTTTTTTTACCTATATCTCTGCTGTGCATATTATATCCTACCCTAGTCCACATTATATACTAAACGAAAAAATCAGGATTTTTTTTCGTAATTCACCTCACTGATCCTATACTATAATTCTTTTGGTATAATTTGCTATCAAGTTATTTATAAAAATAATTTCTATCTCTACAATAAACTCTCCTAACATTTTAATAGAAAACGTAACTAAATTCTGAAAAACATACTCATAGAAATAATACTCTTTAAGATATTGTATCTCACAATCATTTCTAATTCAACCATCAAAAAGAAAGAAATGTACAGTCAACTGTAGTCCATAATCTGAGACAAAGTTTCAGTACAAAGATTTCAAATATAAATCTTATATATGAAAATTGAACAAATAAGAGCTAAAGAAAAATTCCTAGCTTTATCAGAATTATGCAAAGCAAAGGACCTACATATGTAAACTTGCTATTATATAAGAGGACTTCATAGTTATTTTCCAAAACCAACAAATGACCCCAAAGCTATAAATCTGATACGTACGAGGAGATTGGGTGTGAATCCTCAATGGCATTTGTGGGCTGTACAACCTTTCGTCTCCTTGCAGCTTCATATGCCTCCAAATATGATCTTATGAAGAATAACTGGAAAATAAAAGTATATTTCAATAATTTTTTCAACCATAAATAAACATTTCAAGATAATAGATAAAGACTTAACACTAAACAGCTTTGCATGATTTTTTTTTTTTTTTTTTTTTTGTGAGCCTAATGTAAGAAATGAAAAGATTCCTTTCATATAGTACTTAGGATTCTTTCCCCATTTCTGAAACTCAGTCTTCATATTTTTAACAATTGTGATACATAGTCACAAAAGTAGGCCTACAATAAGTGTAACTTTATTGGACTACAGATCTCTTCTTTAGTCTGTAAAAGAATCAACAGAAACTGATGAATCTACAGGAGAGGAGAAGTCTGAGGAAGGGGAACAGTGTGAAAATGTATCAGCTTCCTCAACAATATCTGTTCCTTCCAAGCATAAAATCAACTCTATCAACATATTTCTGAATCTACTCCACAAGGCAAAATGTGTCGTGCATACATTATATATCATGTCATTGTTAATAAACTTGAGTAAATCTTCAGAATATGTGTATCATGGAGTTGTCATGGACAGGAGCCCAGGATCAATAAATTAGCATCATGTCTTTTAATAAGAATTTTGTCCCTCTGATCAATAATAGCAGAATCAGAGCCTCCTTTCCGGATGTGTTGCCCATGACATGACACTGAGCTTGTCATCCAGGTTATTTATGGCTTCTCTATAAATAATTCTTTAATGGGATGGAATGACCCCAACCATAGACAAAGACATATTGACTAAATAAGATAAGGATTTATGCTTATTGTGACACAAGTGTCAGTAATTACCTTGATGGGATAACTAAAATAATGAAAACCTTTAGAAAACTTCATATTTCATGAGATAAGAAAAAGGGAAAGCAATGGAAAAAATGTATTCAAAATGAAGTTAAATTTCTTCAAATTAATTCAGCAAAACATAAATTGAGACAGAAATCAGTTACCTGTTTGTCCTTTCCGGGATAGTTTTCTCGAGCCACAGTGAAGTATGGATCAACTGGGAGTTTGTATTCATAGACCCACTCACAGAAGTGATTGGCCACGTCAAAACCACGGTAATTATATGAGCAATACTCAAAGTCAATCAGGCACACTTGATCATCTCTCGTCTTGGCATGGGTATTGAGCAAGATATTACCTTCTTGCATGTCGTTATGTGCGAATACCACTGGAGACTGAACCTTTCCTACAACTTTGCGCAAGAATTCCATTTCTTTTTGGAAGTTAAACAGTTGCAGTTTTGCAATTTTCTGAGCATCTTCTCTGTCACTCAATGATCTGTTGTTTAGAAAATCTTGACTTGACTTCAACCACCTGCAAGGAAATGCAGTAACAGTTAGACATTTACAGCACATGACTATCAAATTAAGTATCCCTGAGGTGCCCTCAGTTCTTCAAGGATAAAAAGAAAAAAAAAAAAAAAAAACAAGTACAGTTACTCCCACACATTTTATCTCTAAGAACAAATAAGAGTAATGTAAGGTGTGGTAATCCTAAAGTCCTTTCATGAAATTTAATCTTTAAGAAGATTGCACAAGCATACAAACATGCATGTTTGTATGCTTGTTGGAGGGTGGGTGTGCACCAGTGCATAAAAGTATAATTTTTCATTTATAAATTGTAGAATCATATAGACAAAATATGCTTTA